GAACCGACATAATCACGGTCAGTGGCTTTGCAAACGGCCGACCTTGACCTCATCTGGGTCACAAGTTTCTCGAGCAATGCTTCATCGAGACCGAAAACGCGCCTTGAACTCCTTCTCGCTCCAGCGCTCGCCCTGGACTGGGACATTTCCTTTGGAAAACAAGCTCTGGACGAAGAGGGGGGCTCTGGTACCTCGCTTCGCGAGGTGGTAGAGCTCAAAACTGCTGGGCGTACGCACTGGGCCAATGGCCCAACCCCTGTACTGCTCAGCCCAGCTAGGAAAGATACCTCTGTCCTCCTCCTCCTCCTCCTCCTCCTCCTCCTGATCATCGTCGCAGTCTTCCTAAGAACCCCCAAGCCCCCGATGCACATCACAGAGATCGCGATGCACTTCATCATATGCGATTGCTTATTGAAGGGGGATGGCGTTTTTGTGGCCTCAAGCAGCAAGGGTCTATGAATAGTAAGCCCAGACAACCCTCCTCCTCCTCCTCCTCCTCCTCCTCCTCCCTCTCCTCCTCCTCTTCCTCCTCCTCCTCCTCCTCTTCCTGCTTATCCTCCTGCTTATCCTCCTGCTCCTCCTCGTCCTCCTCCTCCTCCTCCGCATCCTCCTCCTCCCCTTCCTCCTCATCCCCCTCTTCTTCTTGTTAGTAATATTGTTAGTAGTATAAGTATTCTTATTGTGCTTGTTCTGATGCTTAAGGTTCTTCGTAGTATCCTGATTATTCGTATTCCTAGTCCTCATATTAGATTGATATCATTCGTTGTATTGTTGATGTTCTTCTTTTTCCTCCTCCTCCTCCTCCTGCTCCTCCTCCTCCTCCTCGTCCTCCTCCTCCTCCTTTTCCTTCCCCCCAACTCATCATAATCCACCTCCTGTTCCTCCTCCTCCTCTTTTTCCTCCTCCTGCTCGAATTTTGTTTCATGCTAGACAGCTCGTCCCTGTCGCACCACCAAACGTGTCCGTAGGTCGGGCTGGGCGTTTCGCCAAAGACTGCATCGCCAATCATGGCCCTGAAGGTTGAAGCTTGCAACACGTTCACGGATGGAGCCTGGGTCGTTTTCATACTGTGGTTTTCGCCTTAGCGCCGCACACATTGGTGTCGGAACCTGCCAACAACTTCCGAAATGAAGGCCGGCTCTTTTTCGGGATGTGGTTCGCGCCTTCACGCCGTGCATTTTCATCTCAAACGCTTCAATAAACTTCTAGGATTGAGGACAACTCTTCGTTAGCTCGCGGCTTTCGCTTTAAAGCCGCGCGCATCCATACGACACATCCCGCACCATGCGATGCAAAACAACATGATTCGGCGCACATCCATCCGACCCACCTTCCACGACCCGGTACAAACAACAGATGTGGCTCACATCCGTACGACCCAACCGTCAACAAACCATGTCAACAACTACTATTCGACGCAAATCCATACGGCCCAGTCCTCACGATTCGGCGCATACAACTTTTCGGTGCACATCTATCTGACCTACCCCCAGCGCGATATGTATACATTTGTATACACATAGATACACCTGCGTACACATGCATACATACATACATGTCTATATCTATGCATATGTATATATATATTAAAAAGTGCATGTTATATATATATATAGATGTGTGTGGGGCCGCCGGCCCCCATGTGGGGCCACAAGGTTCCGCGGGTCAGGTTTGCTGCGCCATGCTCCCGTTCCAGTTTCCACTCTCCCATAATATAGTCCTACGTTATGTTTCCGACTGTGAATGGTTGCAGTCCGCGCGAGGGGGGGGGGGGCCGAAACGGGCCCCAGTTACCAACGCGGCGAGGCGTGCCACGGTGAGGCGAGCCAGAACCAATGCTGAGGAAACGGTATGTATCCTAAGCATTGGCCGCCGCGGTCCACATTTTGCGGGGTGGCCACCGCCCGTCGTCACCCTGGTGTGGGTCATTGCCCCTGAGGCACTTGATCGTGTAGTCGTCTGCGGCCTTAGACGTCGCAGTGCGGGTCCAGCGGGATGAAGAACTCCGCAATGTCGCCTTCCATGTTCCAGTTATCGCGGCCCTGCGGCTGTATCCATCTGCGGTGCATGGCGCCCATGCTGGCGTGAGCTAGAGGTCTGCACATATCAGTGGTGTGTGTCCTGGCGGTGGCGCTCCCCCACGAGCCGTCGGTGTGCCAACCAATTGAAAGAAGATGATGTCCTATGTCATGATCGCGTCTTCCGCGCTTGGGTAGTAGCGGTATCGTTCGTCGTATGTTTGGCACCTGTATTGCGAGTGTAGTAGATCCCACGGCCGTCTGTCCAGTCATGCGTTGGTCGAAGGTGAAGACGTCCAAGCCGTCAATGCCACTCAGGTGTGATAGCGGGGTAGTAGCCAGCAACTTGCTGGGACCCCCCCGTTGTCGACTATGGCGGGGTGATCCACGATCATGGAGACCTCCGTGCTGATGCAGATGCATGCTGAGAGAACGGTGGTGCGCAATAGCTGATTGTCGCCATGTAGTTGTTCGAGCTGCCGCAGTCATAGATGCTGCAGTCCCCAAAGCTGTTGTTGGCTCCTCAGAGATCGCGGTTGGTGCCCGCCCCATGTCTCGTTGAGTGGTCCAGCGAAGATTGCCGCGACGCGGCCGCATAGGAGCTGGTTTCTTCAGAACTGCATGGTGCCCCATTTCGCGAGGTCTCCCTTGATCTCGACGTGAGTGATGCCGATGGAGATAGTTATGATGCTGTTGCCGTTGGAGTTAAGGTACTCTATCCATTACTGTGCGCCACCGCTGCGTCTGCATCCGCTGCGGCGCCGCTGCAGATGCGTAGGGTGGCCTGTCTCTAAGTACATGTGGGTCTCGGCATGGGCGTAGGGCCAGGTCTTGGTTCCAGAGGTGCTGTATCAGGCATGGACATCTCTCTTGTAGCCGCGAGGTCCTTGACGTACAGCGGCGGCATGACGGTCTTATAGCTGGCCACGTGCGCGTTTAGCGGAGGCCCCCAGCCTTGATGTTGCCTCTTTGCTCGTCGCGTGAAGCTCCTCTGTTTGCTTCAGCGCTTGCCTCGTCATGCCTGTTTGCGTCTTGTCTCCAAGGTGCCGCGCCTGCAGTGCGCGCGAGAAGGTTTTTGGCGAGTCCCCCAAGTGTGCGTTGGAGCATGTCAGGCATCTCGTTCCACGGTCCCATCTAGTTGGGCGGCCATCTGTTGGGCGGTGTTTTCCCATGTGGACGTAGAGGGCGTAGGTCTCGTTGAAAGTGGCGACGCACTCGTAGCACATGGTCGTCTTGTCATTGTGGTTGTTGTCGGTCATGAGTTGTGGGAAGGTCGTTGTTTTGGTATGGTCGGACGCTGCTGTGCCATTGTCGCAGATGCTCTTGGTAGCTCCTGCTCATTGTCGAGGTATGTCCACTGTAGATCGTGCCACAACATCTGCCCCCATGATGAGGTTCGGCTGAGGTTGGCGTCGACGATTCGCAATAGCATGGTCGGGGCGCGCTGTAGGAGTCTCGGTAGATATCGTTGCCAGAAGATGCGCATGGCGATGTGCGACTCTGGTCGTTCTACTTCAGTACATACTGCGCCGTTGTTGATATTCTGGTGGTCGTGGTTGTTGGCCTTGTATCCAGCTGCCATCCTGTATCCCTTCAGGCACTCGGTCTCGATGCTGTGGAGCTGCCCCTTGTTGAGAGGGTTCCAAATGTGTGAGCTGTAGAAGAGGGCCGAGTTGGTGAGCCGGTCGTTGAGGAGGGTCTTGTCGTCGATGCTCAACTGTTTTCGTTCGTAGACCTCTTTGCGCGGCGTGGCTCTGCTCGCTGTGGCCGTTGGGTTTCTCCGCTGCATCTATTTTCCTTGCCCTACGTCGTATATTGCGGTGCCCAGCGATATCTTGTGGTTGGCGAACTCGATTGACTCGCCGAGGTGCCCGTTCTCGATGTGCGCGATGCTGTTTCTGGCGAGTTGCTCCTTGGCCGTTCTGCCCCAGCGTCCGCGCAGGAGCAAACTAAGTCTAGTCCCCGTTGGCGCGGAGCCGCGCGCCGTGGGCCATGATCCATTTGACCATGATGTTGGAGAGCGTCTTAGCCGCGCTGGTGATCTCAGGCGCAGCGCCGCGTCGCACGCGGGCGCAGACGTTCATGTCGCCCACGAAGGAGGCGTCGGCAAGCTGCGCCCCATCCGCCCCTCGCCGTCTCTTGCGCGCCCGCCCTGGGAGAAGATAGTTACCCGGTGTCCTGCGCCGACGTCGGCGCGGAGGCCACTGTCGACCATGTCCTCTGCGATATGTCGCGCAACCTTTGCAAAAGCGAAGTTGAATGCGAGGTCTGGCGCTTGTGCTCCAGGCCACGTGCCAGCGCGTGGCTGCGCCAACCTAGTGGACCCTTTCGCGGTGTATCACACGTCTGCGCGCGCGTCTGGCAGTAGCGCGCACAGGTTTTCATCGCCCACGTCGCGGCTGCTTATGGGCGCTCCTTCCACGGCCAACTGTAATGCAGGAGTGAATGGTGCAGGTATACTGATGTCGTGTAGCAAGTCGTTGAGTTCCTCTGGCGCATGTAGGAGCTGGAAGACACAATGTAGCACGACACTGTAGGAGGCGCCCTCGAGGTCCCAGAACAGGATCATAGCTGATTCGCGTCTCTCTTTTTTTGTTGTTATCTCTCTCTCTCTCTCTTTCTCCCCCTCTCTCTCTCTCTCTCTCTCTCTCCCTCTCTCTCTCTCTCTCTCTCTCTCCCCCTCTCTCTCTCGAGGTAGTCAATGACGCCGAGGGTCGCATGTGCGACGAAGTCGGTGGAATGATGCGGTCGTGCTCCACATTGTGCGTCTCGTAGTAGTTGCTTCATAATACTCTTGAGTCTGGTACGCAAGAAGCTGCGGTGGTGCATAGCTGTGATTTGTTCAGTGATATCATCCGTCGTCTCGCTTGTAGGTCTGGTTCGGTAGCATTGGGCTTTGAGAATGACGTTTGCATTCCTCCTTTGTGCGATATTGGCTCCACCGTCACCGGCTGTGACTTTACTCAGCGTGGGCAGTAGATCCTGGCCATTTCTTTCGGCGCGATCTTGCGGCAGTCGTCGATGAGGCTGTCGGGGCCCCCACCCCTTCCTTGCTTTGCCTGAGTGAACTGTCGCTCCGTCTCCTCTTTGGTGATGATGTAGTGGAGCGGTGTGCCGCGCAGCGTTCTGGTTGTGGATGCGTAGTTGGCGCGGTTGCTGCGCTTGTCGGCAATGTCCTGCGAGCCCATGATCTGCGAACGCTCGGCGATGGCGAAGCGGCCCAGTGCTGCTTCCGCTTGCTGCCGTTGATCACGCAGAGGTTGTCCGTCAGGGCCAACGACGCATAGGCGTTCAGCTGCAATGCGCCCCGGTCTGCCCCCATGCCTCAGGGGCCTCTTGATGTCCGCCCATGCTCTTCTGGAGCCGTCGCTGATGGAGGCGTCCTTTGCGCTGTTGGCGATGGTCTCGAGACAACTGGGGCGGTCAGATTCAGCGGCGCTTGCAAGCTGCGGCGATGACCCGCGCAAGAATGCAAGCGCCGCCAATGCTATCTCCTCGAGCTGGGCGTAAGTGTATGTGATGTCCGAGGTTGCCCGTTGAAGCGCAAGAAGAGTTTCTGGGTTCGCCATGGCCTCGCATGCGCTGATGGTGGGGACGCGGGCTTCGTACATCTGGAAGACGAATTTGACGAGGCCTTCCGTGTCTTGAGGTTCTCGCCGTCCTGCCGCCGGCGTCGCGGCGGCCGTTGGCGCGCCCTGCGCACGCGGATGAGGACGAACGTCGTGGGCTGCATGGCTTCCCGGGGTGGACCTCGTCGGTTTCGGAAGCCTTGATCCCAGCCGCGTGTACTTGTTGCGAGGTAGCGAGCGTGGTCGTTCATCTCCTCTTGGTAGGGTGATAGTGGGATGGTAGCGATCTCATCCATGAGCTCCTGCTGAGCGCTTGGATCTCTCAACTTCGCACGGTCCACGGGCTCGCCGCATCGCTTGATGTTGGTCTTCTCGGTGTAGACCATGTCAGCGATGATCGGGCAGTGGCCCTCGTTTTCCTGGTGGGTGTCGAAAACGTCGAGGACCTCCATGCACTGGGCGCTCGGCTCTTGCCCGCGTGGTAAGCGCATTTCGCCCATGCGCTGCTTGACGTTCTTCTCCGCGCATGTGTGACTGGGCCCGTGTGTCTCGATAGTAGCTTTGGAAGCGAGGGGGCTGCGCTGCTGCAGGTAGTCGCGGAAGTACTTGCCTGCCCTGCATAATTCCTCAGGTTGGTCTTCATCTTCAATGCGGGGGGAGGTACTGCTGCCAGCTATGCCATTGGCACCGCTGAGGATGATGTCGCCGTCGCACTTCTCCGTGTCAGCGCTGATGTAATCCCCGTACTGGTTGCAATCGAGGTCGTCGGCAAGTGAGCGCGGCGCGCGCGCGACCGCGATGGCGCGCTTGAACCGAGGCGCGGTGGACATGACTATTAATCGTCGGGGGGGCGGGGGGGGGGTCTGGGTGATTATTCTCCAGTGGTTGGGTTTGAAGTATAGCTGTTTGCCGTTGTCGTCGTGGTAGGGGTGGTGCGTGTAGCAGAATCAGGAGCAGCCCAAATTGCGTTTGTCGCGTCCGCTTGAGATGATGGTGCACTGGTCGGCGGCATGGGCCCTCGTGGTAGTCTTGACTCCTGCGCCCCAATGCTGCGTGGATTTCTGTCAGAGGGCTGTTGTCGGATAGCTGTGGCTATGGCTACCGTTCTCCTCTTGTCGCGCCCCTGCTTCTCTGGGGCCTTGAGAGACCGTGCGTTGTCGGTGCAAATGCGGATGTAGATCTTCTCGCCGCTGGTGGTATCGGCGCAGTTCGTTGCGAAGTGGGTCGGTAAGGCCTGTATATTCGCTGGGGGTGCCTCAAGTCCGTGCCGGTGCATGTTCGGTTAGGCGTCCTTTGTTTCGCTGTCTGCGTTTCGTAACCACTCCCATTGTCGTTCTTTGTCGGCGTGGAAGGCTCGTGCCCACTCTTCGCGTGGACTTTGCTGCTGGTTGCTGGGCGCTGCTGCGTACATCTTGGTGAGACTGTCTGCTAGCTCGTTCCACAGGTGCCCTGCGCGCGCTCGTGCGTGGTCAACGTTTACGTCCACCGCCTCGGCGGTGAGGTCCTGTAGTCGTCGTGCTAGGTCTGTCAACTGGTAAAGTTTCTTGGGATGGAACTTGCCCGCGGTGAATCCCCTAGCAATCGTGGAGTCGGCATGGGCGATGGCGCGCTGTGGAAGTGCGCGCATATCTATGCGCGGGCCCGATTCAGAGCTGCTAGTTCTATGTAATAGAGTCGCTGGGAAAGTTGTCATCTCTGAATGAGATGTTGTTGCGTGTGCCGATGCTCCCTGGCATATATATAGCCTTGTTCGTCTTCGGCGGTGATAGCAGGGTCCACGAGTCTCGGGTGGAGTCGCGCTGATGCGCGCCGCCAGCGCATAGGCGCGATCTGTTGACCTGTTGAAAGGGTCGATGCGGGCACGGCCCAAACGCCGCGGCGGCGGCCGGGTGGTGATCGGGAGCGTTAGCGAGGTCATGCCGGCGCTGGGGAGCAAATGGCAACGCGCGCCTCAAGACGGCCGCTGTCGGCTGCGCCGGAAGGGAGCTGCCGCTGTGAAACGCCCCCCTTGCTGTGTGCCTCCGGGAGGAGCGGTTCCCTCACGGGTGCGTCGGTCTGCAGATGTAGCACCCTCCGCGCCGATGTCCACGTCGTCTTGCACGGGGCCCGAGCCGTCGTCACGCGGCGCGTCGCATCTGGTTGAAATTGGCGCTGCGAGGTCGATGGCTGCTTCGCCATCCCTCTCAGCGGCCAAGTTTGCCGAGCTGCCTGCGTCTCGGCCCCCCTGCTGGCGCGTGAATTCACTGCATTGCTGCAGGGGCTGCGCGGGGACATGCGTCGCCGATTGCCTGTGCCACGCTGGTAGACAAGGCGCATAGCTGCTCGTTGAATTCCAGTTCGGCGTCGGCGGCGGGATCGCGCGTTGGGTCGGGCCCATCTGGTCCTGGAGCTTTCAGCTGTAGCGAAACTAATCGTTCCAGATGTGACGCGCTCTGGCGTGGAACCTCCTAGTGAGGCGTCACTGCGTCAAACGGTTGTCGCTATGTTGGCCCCGTTGGCCGCGGCGACGGCGGCGCCCCACGCCGCCGCGCCTCGTCTGTTTTTTTGGAGCATGGTCGCGGGCGCCCCCGTCGATGCCGCTGCTGTCGGCGTCGTCGTGGCGGCCCATGGGGATGATGTTCCTCTCGTCTGCTGGATCAACTGCGCCCTGGCCGCTGTCCGCTGCGGAGCGCGCGGGGCGTCGCGGCGCTGGCTGAGGTCGGCTGCGCCCGGTGCGCCCGCGAGCTTCCTCCGATGGCTGGGCGGGGGACTTCGGCGGCAATGGCGCTGCTCTGTCCGGCGGGGCGCCGACGCAAACGGCCGGTGCCAATCGGAAGCCAACCGGCGCCATGCACTCCGTTGGTGGTATATGTGCTTCTCTCAGGGGTGTGCATAGCGTCGCCTCTGCAGTCGCGATTAGTACAGCCAGTAGCCCCCCTTCGTCTGCCATCGGCGCCGGTGCCTCCCCCCCCTCGAAGTCGCCGCGTTGGACGTGGAAATTACCCGGCCATGAGGCGGCAGTCGACGTTCCTCGGCTGCGTTGAAGCCGGCTCCCATGGCTCGACTTGGGGTGGTATATGTTCTGCGCTCGGCTCAGGTCGCGTAGTTTGAATAGGCCCGTCAACGTCAGGCGAAGTGGCTGGGCGCTCGTCTTCTGGCGTCGACTTAGCTAGATTGATCCGGCCCTTCTCGCGGCGGCATTCGCCCCCCTGGGCCTAGGCTCCGCGGTCCTCAACGTCGGGGATCTCGGAGTCAGGGGTGACTATGAGCTGGGCTCTCGGGCCACCCTCTTGCCGCGTTGTCCCTCGTGGCGCCTGCAAGAAAACAACGATGGGGTTAGGTCCGCTATTCCTGAGCTGGTTGGCGAAGTCGTGAACGAAGTCTGCTTCTCGTTCCCTCTGCGTTGCGCGGATCTCTGCGAGGGCGCCCTCGAGTTGCCGGGCGCGCCGTTGCATCTGCGCCTCGGCGACGCAGTGCTGGCTGTGAAGCTGCTGGAGAAGGTGCCCCTGTGACCCCGTGGAAACTCTTGCAGCGTTGAGCTGGCGGTGGTCGCACCGCGTGCGTTCCGCTTGCAGCTCCGCCGTCGCCGCGCAGGCCTCTTTGCGCTGGCAGAGCTTGGCGATGCGGTTCTGCGCGTCCTCAGTCCGCCATTCCCGTGCCCGAGTGACTTCGGCCTCGTCGTGGCACTGCTTCTTCCTGGTGTGCATGATATGTTTTGCCCGTGGATCTCGCGTTGGAGTTTGCTGACTCGTTGCTCCGAGAAGTTGTAGATGTGCTGGGTGTGCTTGCGGGCCTGGTCCTCGATGTTTGCGTGCTCGGCTTCCGCCGTTGCGAGCTCCCGTCGCGGTTGTTCTCGCGCGTGCTGTTGCTCACGGAGAAGGTGCACTGCGGCCCTTGTATGCTCCAAGTCGTTGGTGATGATGTGTTGTTGGTGCTCTAACTGCTGCATGGCTCCATCTTTCTCTTCTAAAATCTTCTCGAAGTTACTGCGCCTGACGCTCGCATCCGCGACTCGTGGATGCCCTGGTCGGCGCGTCTGAAGTCGCGTTTATTCCAAGACTCTTGGTAAGTACTCGCGGGTGGCGGCTGCCTCCTGGTAGTTCTCGTAGGATTTACCCGATGCCAGGGAGATGTTGTCATTGCGGTCGACGGTCTGCAGCATGGCGTTGTTGGCCTCTCGGAGCTCGTGCTCGAGATTCTCGACGGCGATGCTGTCTGTCTCGGTCTTGTGCGCGCTGTGCTCTGCGGCCCTCTCCGTTGCCTTCCTGATGCTGTGGATCTCCTCATTGCGCCCCTCCATCTGCCCGTGCTCATAGCGCTGGAGCTTGCGGTGGAATTCCGGTTCGCGTTTGTTGTGGCTCCTTCGCTTCCTCGAGCTGGTTGATGATGGCTCTTTGCTGTGCGGCATGACTCCGTTGAAATTCAGCTTTCTGCCGTGTTTCTTGGAGATATTGTCGCCGCTTGACGATGGAGGCCTCCGCAGGTGCTCGAGTCGCTGGGGATGCTGATGCCGCTTCTGCAATGCACCCCCGGTGACGTCTCCCGGTGTTGGGCGCTGAGCGATCGGAGCGCCGTTGCTTTGAGCGCCTCCTGGGAGTCGCCGCTGACTCGGCATGGGCGCCGTCGTCCGAAGTCGCCCCCCCTGATGCGGTCGCGGAGCCTTCGAAACTGTCGACGTCGGTCTCGCAGTAGCGCGGCCGCTTGCTGCAGCTCCTCCAGCTGATGTTGCGCGTCGCCCATCTGGGTGAAAATGTCGTTGATCATGCTCTCGACCTCTCTCCGCTGGTCCTTTACGTCGTGTAAGTTTAGCAGCATGGACTTCTGCTGTCGGGTCTTGGCGACGACGTCGTCGAAGTCGTAATCGTCGTTGGCGCGCCGCTGGGTGGTGGTGATGCGGTAGTGAATGTCTGCCTTGCAGTTATAGCGGCACTCCTTGACCTGGTCGGAGCGGCGCATTGGGGGTGGCTCGTTCCGATGCTGCTGTCCTTTGTCTTCGGTAAGATCAAGGGGGCGATGTTGGCAGCAATAGAATGTCTCTTCTCCTGTCTCCGTTGCACGTTGAGGCTGTGCTGCTGTTGTTGCTTTTGTGGTTCCTGCAAGTGGTGTTGTCCCATGGCGTTGCTGCTGCCCGCGCCGCGGGTGTCGTCGCGGCCGCGGCCGCGCCATTGTGTCCGAGGGGCTTCTGTTGTGTCCACTTGGTGCTGCTGGCGTCGGCGCTGGCACTGCTGTTGGTGGCACTGTTGGTTGTGGTAGCTGCCGACCGGAGCCTGGGCCATCTTGGGAACAATGGTGGTGTCGGGAGGTCCAGGTAGTTGCTGAGTGCTGTGGTGGTCAGCGAGCAATTGGCGCGCTCGGTCACCGGTCACGGCGGAGTAGCACCCGAGCGTCGGCACGCTCACGGCGCAGGCGACGGTGCCAGGCGGGCGGCCGTGGCCGCAGGGAGGTCCTTTGGAGTGAGGACGTGGTGACCCCGTAGTCGAGGTGGACGAAGAAGTTATGGGAGAACTTGTACAGGTCAGTATGGAGGCGGACAGGGAGTACTTGATGCTCCGAATATGGAAGTTCAAGTACAGGGAATACTTCGTGTATTTGCTCGCGGGCGTATGGCGCCGCGCTGGGCGCTGCCCGGCCGTGGCGGGGGGAGCGTTCCTTCAATCCCGGAGACGACCTCGGCCAAACGCCTTGAACCAAAATGGCTACGGAACCCTCCTCCTTCTCCTCCTTCTCCTCCTTTTCCTCCTCCTCCTCGT